TCCCCAGCAAACTCACTCCCTTTAAAGGAATCAAATAAGAGTTTTCAATGAAGTGAACATAAACTCTATCAAGCTGTGGCCAGCACGAACCATATTAATTGAAGGAATTTTAAAATAGGAGGCTTATTGGCTTGATGAACTCCCCCACCTCAATATAACCTATAAAAAGGATTTCAACACGGAAAGGTCAGTGTGGCCAGAGCTTCTGGGATCTGGGTGCCTGCAGACATAAGTCCCAGAGCTAACTCTCCGCAGAGTTACAACAGATTCACACACGCGTCACAACAGATAAAAAGCATATTTCTCATGCCCGTGTCGCTCATCCAGCCAGCCTGTACCCCCTCCCCTCCCCCTCCCCCAGACTTTTCCAGATGTATTTCATACACAGAGTCACTGTTCTGGCTGTTTATTTAATTAACATGACAGCCCGGCACACACTGTTTCTTTCAGCTCTACAGTTAAACTTTTTACACTTTAGACTCAAGACAGAAAGAGTAAAGTGACTGCTTTCACTCCTCCCAACCTCTGGAAATTTATATAGATTTTCTGACTCTTTCTGTTAGTTAAAATGGTCCTTTGGTATGCTTTAAATATCTGTATTCACAAAGAAAAAAAATCACAGGAAAACAAAACATTATTTTCCTACCTTTCCCAGGAGGACCAGAAACCCTTGTTTGCTTTTGCAGAGGTTGACATTAAAGTTAATTCTGTCACCAAGACATAATCAATATTTCCGTTTATACCATTAAAAAGTGAAGAATAATACTGAAATACGATAGAAGCCTCAATTTAAAATCCCATATTTCTTAAACATATCCAATATAAGAAACATATCAAAATACATTTAAAAATGTACACAGCATTCTATATGTTCAGAAAAATGGAGAGTGGTTCTGTGCTGGAACACTCGCCTGACACACATGAGGTCCTGGTTATTTTACATGCTAAAGGTTTACTAAGGCTGCCTGGAGGACCAGCATTATGGCTCAGTGGGAAACGGCACTTGCCACCAAGCCTAAGGAGCAGAGAAAGATTTCAAGAACCCACATGGTGGAAGGGAGGGCTAACTTCTGTGAGTTATCCTCTGACGCTGTAAACACGTTATAGTATGTGAATTCTCTCTCTCTCTCTCTCTCTCTCTCTCTCTCTCTCTCTCTCTCTCACACACACACACACACACACAAATATAACTTTTAAAAAACTGTCTCCAAAATTATTGAGAAGAAATAATTCTGTGCATTTCGTCTGTACTGATAAGACTATCAAGCTTTATTTGATTTTAAGCAATGGCATAAGAAAGCCCACCACATGCCCACCATCCAGAGACCACCAACTGAAACCATTATCCTATCTTTCTTTTTTATTGTTTGCTTGGGGGGGGATTTAAAATGTCTTTCTCATCCCAGTGATTAACAGCTTGACCCTTGTCTGCTACCAAACTTAAATTCCACTGCAAAGACATTCACATAGGCTGACAATTCTCAACTGAGTGCTTAGAGAAACAGCCACAGGAGAATGTAACTTTTACTTCAGTAAGAGAAAGCACATATTTGTATATAGACATATTTGTCTACATTTCTGTTTGCCTCTGTGTCTCTTGCAAAGAAACTAGCCATTAGTGTGGCTCAAAGACAATCATTGGGAGAGCTGGATGATTTGTATCTTTTTTTCCTATGAAACCATACGTTTAAAAATATTAAATGATTCACAGGTAACTAAAATAAAATTAGGTTTGCTTTAGAATCCATTAGAAATTAATGGGTATGCTGGATTCAGTAATTACAGAGAAGTGAGTGTCCAATAGTGTTCTATGATGCATATAGAGAACAGGCATGCCTCCAGTATTTTCCTAAAATTGAGAGTTGCAGAACTAACTTCGTGCTGAAAATCGCCCTTATTAATCAAAATTATCCAATAAATGTTAGGTGTTCTGCATATTGGAAGTTGGCAGGGGGTTGTAGCAAGATGGCAAGGTTATTGCTGCTGTCCAATGTGAGAATTCTCTTTCAGAGGAGACATACACCTTAGCTGACCCCAGGCTTCCCAGACCATCAGTCTAAAAAGACACTGACCTAACATCACAGCCTCGGTCTCCGGGATACAGGGCTGGCAAGACTCCACCAGAAAGATGCTGCCCAGGCTGTTCCTTCTCAGAAGACACTTTCTGTTGCCTTCAGACACACCTGGAGCCTCCCTCACTGACCAAAACCAGACCTGCATTTCCCTTCTGTGCTACAAATTATCTGTACTACAACTCAATTCTATATGGGCTATCTCAACAAGAGACTTCATAACTCTAGACTCAGGGGAAGACGGGAAGGAGGGAAGGAGGAAAGGAGGGAGAGAGGATGTCAGGCAGCCAGACAGGCTTGCTTTATGTGAATTTTAGCATATATTCTCCTGTGCCCCTTTAGGAGATGAGAGGCACTGATAAGAGGGAATTTTCAAGCAGTGGTTACTGTCACCCACACAGAGAAGGGAAGTGCCCCAACTGTCTCACTTTTAAACTCCACAATGAGCAATAGCTAAGTCATTACCGAGGAGGCTTCTGTCTGTGTTGCCTCTCGGTACTATTTAAAACTTACTGGTTGCCTACAAGATCTGCCTTATTCAGAAAAGAACTAAGCAGACAGCACTCGGGGAGTGGTAGATGTTCGTTTTACAACTATTTTCACTCTGGACTTCGTCAAGTATGCAAATGATCATGACACCCTTTGCCCTCTTAATCAGAAGTTTGCTTCCTCGTGATAAAAAAGATAAGCCATTTACTATATGGCTCCTAACCTTTTCACAGAGTTCGGCCAACGTATGAGCTGCCACCTCACCCTATCTCATAAGATACTATCCCATGTCAGCCACACCCATTCCCCACAATTACGTTCAGCAACAGCTTTGATGGGTCATATATGAAAACCAACCTTCAGTGAGCACACCTTCACCCATGCCCTTATAAAACTTCAAGGGTCCAGGTTGCTGCTGCATGCAACCACAGCTCCCTATCACCTTAAGTGAGAGTTTCTTGCTTTGGATCATCCTTCATCAACACTACTTCAACAAAAACAGTTGCCAAAGAAAATGATCAGGGTAGATGATTCGTGTACACTATCCAAGCAACTAATCAATAAAACCTTTGAAAAATCAAGCTCAATAGACCTTTATGAGATCACTACAGTCCTTCATTTACCAATGCGAAACAGAGAAAACCTATACAAATCTACGCTCATCAGCAAAGTTGTTCCATTCACCTGAAGGCCTTCTGATCTCAAATCCACTCTGAGCTCCCTTAATCGGAAATGTCAGAAATTTAATTCCGAGGGCTAAGTGACATTAATATGGAGTCAAATTACTTCTGACTCAATCCAGATTTTTCCTGTAAATTAGGCTTCAATGTTGGCAAAGATCACATCACATTTCCCTTTAAGTTCAAGAGAAGTGTATTGTCGATGTCTTTTTGATAATCCTGTTTTCAGCCAGAAAGTTCTCTCTTCTGCACCCATCTGTAGTTATACTTTATTCTAATGATCACCAAATATCTAGACAACTAAGCATCACTCGGTGGCCTATGCTCTTCCCTTTGCTCTTTAAACTGAGAAATATTTGTCTCCGCTAAACAAAAAGTTAAATAAGTACATTTGTTTTAAAGCAAGCACAAGCATGTAATGTTGTCATCCAGTCCGCTACATAAAGTCAAAGAGCCACCCATCTGGGTAATCAACTCCATTTCAGAAACAAACCAGCTACTCACACCATATGGCGACTGATGGACTGATGTTTCTGAGGAACACCTAACCAATTATCCCTAGAATTACCCAAAAAGAAAAGGCTTACTATTATCCTAGGAACAGCCTTTTACCCTGAAAGTTACCATAACAGGATCATAGGTAGCCATGAATTTAGATGGAAAAAGTGTAAATTTCCATTTAGAGTGCAGAATCAGGTTTCTCAATCCCCCTACAGCAAGTGTCAGACCTAGTGGAGAGAACTGAGGCAAAAAAAAAAAAGACCTCAGGTACAACTTGAATAAATGAATAAAATAGTTAACGGTTCTCCTATACCATGCAGGTTGCTATTCTGTGATACCAAACACATTTGCAACCTCCCCCCAAAGAACCCACTCCCCGCAAAGAATGCCTAAACTGGTACACACAACTTCACTCCGAATTCAACTCCCCCATCTCCTCCTTCCTCAAAGATACGTTATCGATATCAATCTTAGAAAGTCTGGATTAATGTTTCCTGCAACCCCTGAGGAAGTCATTTGAATTTCTATCCACTTAGGCTGATAAACGCGCGTGAGAAAGGTTACTCTTCTGAGTGAACAATAAAAGCATAGCTGCCAGTTCTACACCATTCTAAAGTTCACACATAGCCCTCAGGTGTGAAGCCTAAGTTCAGAGGTCAATACACACTGGTGCCTAACAACTACAGTACAGACCCATGCTGGCGGCCATCAGATGCGGCCTCTCCAAAGTCATTGCAAAAGAGAAGCGCCTCACCGTCAAGGATGCCTTGCTTGGCTACTGAAACTCCTCTAACTGACTTTTTATAAATGTTTACCTAGCACTTGATAAGGAATAAATTTTGTTGTTTTACAAAAGACCCAGAAATATAAGAAATACACGTGCTGAAAGACACTTACTTCCAACAAATTATTAAATATTTAAGCTAATTCCAAAAATTTAGGGAGGGTAGAAATGCTTCACCAAGGGCAGGCACTCCCAAGCCAGGTGTAGGAGATTGAAAACATGCCCCAGCTGTGGAAGCCCGCGCACAGACACTTAGTCACTTAATTTTGTTACTTTTTACTGTTTTCTGTTGCTCTGTTTGCAAACTACCCCACTAGATAGAGAACTGGGGAGAGAGGAAAATAAATAATCTACTTTCTTCCTAAATGTAAAGTTGTACTGTTTGGCAGGCTGACTTCCCCATCGCCTGCACTCCACTCCCTGCACTGTTTCACGTTTTCCCGAAGTACCCCCAAAGGCGCGGCCCCAGCTTACCTGCTCCCTGGGTATGCAGGGCAGGGAGGTCCTCCGGTGCGATTTGCCGCTGCAGCCAGACATCTCGCCGGCCACCACGGAGCTGGACCGCCTCCTCCTCTTCCACCCCGGAATCTCTTCCTTGGTCCTCGCGCTCAGCTGGGACCTAAACCGCTCCCTGGGCGGAGCCGGCCCGGAGCACTGCGGCAGGATCTGCTCGGCGTACCTGGCCAGCAGCAACCCCAACACGGCCGCCAAGTAAGCTAGGTAAGGTCTCCAGGAGACCTTGAACCTCTCCAGGGAAACCAGGGCCACCGTCCGGAGGGCGCTAGTCAAGGCGACCATGAGGACGCCCAGCCTCAGCCTCAGCACCAGCCATGTCGCGCCACCCAGGCAGCTGAGCAGGACCCCCGCGGCGGGCAGTGACAGCAGGCGACCGTCCCCCACGCCCAGCGAGAGCTGCACCAGCGCTTCCCCGGCACAGCAGGCGGCCAACAGCGCGACGGCCAGAGGCAGGCGCACCCCGGCGCGCAGCAGGCACAAGCCCATCCAGAAGAAGGCGCACAGGAGACTGAAGAGCAGCCCGGCCGGCTGCAGCCAAGGGCTGAGCTGCGCGCCGCCCCCGGGAGCACCTCCCCGAGGGCCCGGGAAGACGCCCCCTCGGGCTCCTTCCTCCTCCTCCTCCTCGGCCGCCGCCTCCTGACTCGACTCCAGCTTGCCTCCGACCTCCCCGCCGACCAGCCTCACCAGCAGCGCCAGCAGCACGGACAGGGAGCCCGCGCACAACGCCGAGGAGAGTTGCGGCGAGCGCCGGAGTGGTTGCAACGCCTGGACTCCCCAACAACCTCGGCAGCCCGAGCTCCACGGAGATGGAGGGGAAGCACCGCGACGGCGGGGGTCCCAGCTGGACGCCTGGGCGGGACTCGCCCTTCCGAGGCTCTGCTTGGCCCGGTCTTGGGCGGCCTCGCCCGGCACTGCCATGCTGTGAGCTCTGCAGGCAACCCCCTCCCGTCCCACCCGTGCGCCCGCGCCCTTTTCGATCGCACACTCTGAATCCCTTCTCCCCGATCTCCGCGAAGTTTCAGCGTTGCAGAAAACTCAGGAGTGCGAGCTGAAGACTTCTTCAAGTTGGCTGCTAGCAGGATCAGCTTTGGATCTCCCCCCACCCTCTTCCTTTCTCTCTCAGAAATCCTTCGCTCCACCCTCAGCCCAAGTTTATACCCTGTGGGGTCTCTTTCTACTTCGGAATTTTAACACTTGCCCAACACAAATGTTGCTCAGGGACCGCTGATTCTCTGACCATCCCTGGGATGATCGCGGCCGACCTCCCTTTCCCCGTCTTCCCTTCTCTCCCCGCAGCACAGCAATCTCTCTCTCTCTCTCTGTCTCTCTCTGTCTCTCTCTGTCTCTCTGTCTCTGTCTCTCTCTCTCTCTCTCTCTCTCTCTCTCTCTCTCTCTCTCTCCTTTCCTCTATCCTCTCCCCCACCCCATCTCTCCCCTCCCCCTTTCTATCTCTCCCTCTCCTCCCCCTCTTTCTCCACCTCCCCCTCTCTCTTCCCCTTCCCCTTTCCCCTTTCTATCTCTCCCTCTCCTCCCCCTTTATCTCTCCCCCCTCTCTACTTGGTCGATCTTCCTCCTTACTGACATAGGACACAGACTTCGTTTCACAGAGGTAGGAAGCGGAGCCTCCCAGCCTTTCTGTGTCCAGTTCATGACAAAGAGTAGGGGGCAAAAAGAAAATAGAAAAAAAATAGAAAAGGAAGCTGAGACGTAGTGTCCAAGTTACTAAGTTCCACCGGAAAGACCCAGCCTGAGAGCGGCTGCGGCAGCAAGGATAGAGGGAGAGCAGGAGCTGGTATGGAGGGGGATGGGGTGGAGGAAAGGGAGGCTGTTAGCTTAGTTTTCTTTAAAAACCACTTTTCTTTCTTTTTGATGCATGGTGGCTGATGTTTTTGCAGGGGAAAAAAGAGCGGAGACGAGTGCTTAAAACTCTCAAAGATCCCACAATTCCTCTCGCTGGCTCTTAAGAGAACGCTGTAGGTGAGCGGGCTCGGGATCCAGGGCTGCAGTTCAGGGAGGGACCACCCCTTTCCTAGAGATGGTCCCTCCCAGTTAAAGGGGGGGGGGGGGGAGTGTGACTGGTCGGTGCTGGGGTCTGTGGCTGGCGGCTGGCCCTGAGGGGTGAAAGCCAACATGCTTGATTCTGTCATAGAAAAATGACACTTCTTCTGTCTGGGTGATTTAACAGGCGAAGATCCTGAGGTGAGGGTATTCCAGGATAGCTGGAACCCATTTCAATGGCTTTTTCATTCACTGGGGCAGCTCCAGTGGAAGGTCTGTTCGCAGCAAAGAAGCCACGCCCATCTTTCAAAGTTACATTTTGATTATTTTGTATGCCAGTGTGCGTCTGTACGTGAGATCACAGGAAGATTTGTGGGAGTCACCTCCTTTCCAGGGTCTGAAGGATCAAACCTTTTTTTCAGACCTTCCAGGGTCTTTAGACTTGGTGACAAACATTACCTGCTGTCACTGAGCCATCCTGAGGGCCCCAGCATGCCTGTCTTGTTCTTCCAAATGAAACAATCTCAGAGTTATGTAGTGCACAAAGTCATTTAAGAAAAAAAAGAGATACAGACAGAAAACATAGAGAAAGAGGTAAAAAAAAATTAGGGAATGGAGAGATGAAGCAGCAATTAAGAGCATCTGCTGCTCTTTCAGAGAACCCAACGAGTTCCCAGCGCCCACATCTGGTGGCTCAGAACCACTGTATTTAACTCTAGTTCCAGGACATTCTATGCCCTCTTCTGGACTCCACAGCCTCCTGCACGCATACCTGCTCATTCACATATAGCTTTATAAAAACTTTCAGTAATTTCAAAAATCCGTCTTGGAGTGGCACATGCAACCCCAAGCTCTTGAGTGCTGAGACAGGGAGAATGCTCTGATGTAGAAGCCAGCCAGGGCTACAGTGCAATCTTGAAAAGAAAAACAAAAGCATATCCCCCAGCTCCAGTGCAGAAGTATCGAAAGTCAGCAGTTGTTGACTGTGTGTGGTAAAATTACACTATTTGCTGATTAAGAAATTAAGAATGATTGCAGAACTAGAAAGCCCAGCTAGTCAAACACACCCACAATGAGCAAAGCCCCTTCCTTATCAATGATTACGTGGTCATAGGCCACAGTATGTGAAAAAAAAAACATGTTAACTTTTTTTGGCAGTTTATGAAAAAGAATTCTCAGTTTGTTCAGCAGATTCAAAATGATGCTGCTGTGTTCTGGATTAAAAAAAGGTCTGCTCTCGCTCAGGTTGCCTAGGTGTCATTTGGCTTTCACAAATAATAATAAACTGATTTTCTCTCAATTATCTTGCTGCTCCAGGTTAAAGTGTGTTTATAGCCTGGAGTACTTGGATAATTAGCTCAAAATGCCACTGTGTTTTGTGTGTAGAGATGAAGCAATAAAATATGCCAAGAGGAGACAGATGAAATAAAATGGATTCATGGGGGCAGTGGGAAAACGTAGCTTAGGTTGTACATTTCTTTTTATGAGAAGCAGCCTACTGCAGTCCCAGCTGGGCTCTCACAAAGCATTAGGCATAAATGAACAGGAGGGGTGCGACCTGCCAGCCAACTCCTCTCTGTCACATGTCCAGAACTGCGCCACTGGCCAGGAGCATGCGTCGGGCAGCCTGTCAGTGACAGCAATACCATCTGTCTATTAAAGAAAACAGAAGTAGTGATGCCTTTGCCAAAGACAAATGAGCCCCCTAGCATGCACACACACACTTCCCTAAGTTTCCATCTTATTCATGATTCATATGCCAGAGCCTTCCTGGGACGCTCGAAAGTAAAAAACATGCTGCCTCTTGACATGAGCAGTGCACATCAAATCACAACACTGGTCTTATGTTGTTAAATTTAGAAAGAAAAAGTATCTGAGTGGGGAATGAAAGAGTATTTTTATTTTCTCTGTCTTCTACCTCCACATGCATCTCAGGTTTTTCAGGAAAAATAATGGCATGTGATCATCAAAACAGAAATTTCACAAGACTGACAATGGACATTGTTTAGAAGTTGTCCTATGTCCTACATGAGCTGGTGAGATCTCAATGGGTAAACCCACTTGCTGTGCAAAGCCCCAATGACTTGAGCTAAATCCCAGGAGCTACATCAAGGTCGAAATAAAGACCCAACTCCACAAAGTTGTCTCTGATGGCCACAAATGCACTTGACAGATGAATGGCCACACATGAGTCTCTCTTTCAAACACCAATAATTAGTATAAGAAAGTGTCACAAAAAAAACAGTTGCCATTTTCTAACAGTAGCAAAACGTCACTAGGTCTGTGTGTTACTGGCATCTTAGAGCTGGTCAATAATGTAAAAGAAACAATGCCCTGGCACCTGACTTTCTCCCTATTTTTAACAAAAGTCACACTCAGAAAGTTAGTTGTCCCACTAACAGCCATTTCTTTTTAAATGGAAAAAAGTCCATTTTTCTGCCCATTGCCATCCAAAAACCCAAGGAAGGTGTTGAAAACACCCAGATGCTTTTGTGAGAGACAGACAGAGAGCTTCTGGGATAAACAGGAGAACGGCAACCAACAATTAGCAGTACAGTTAGCTAAGTGAAAGGCCAAGATGTATAAGATAGATGTGAAACAGCTATGTGTAAACACTGCCCTTTGAAACAGGTAGCGATCAGTCCTGACTCAGGAACACACAACCAACGAACAAGATGAAAGGCTGTCCACACATAGATAATAGAAGAAAATATCCTGTCCTGTCTACCAGAAGAATACCCTTCACTTGGCCAAGTCCAGTCAGTGTGGTTTGATTAGTTCTTTGTGAAAATCCTTTATACTTTGCCTACTATAGCTTCACTTAAGAGGACTTGCCTGTAATGTTTTGTTTTTTCAAGTCTTCACTCCTAAGTATGGTTTCATTTATTCTCTACTGCCTGCCTGACCTCCATGCACTTACAGTGAGTTAACACTGAGTCCCTAAGAAAGGAAGCGCCTTAGAATCCACTCTTCCACCTACATACTCATCACCTCCTCCATCTTCTCCCATCTAACAGTGCCATCCACCCAGCTGCCTGGATCCACAATGGGAACATTGCCCTCGGCTCTTTCTTGATTAGCTTGCTACCCTTCCACTCTATTAACAAAAGTACTTGCTTCCATCTCTAAACATGACCTGAATCTCTCTCTCTCTCTCTCTCTCTCTCTCTCTCTCTCTCTCTCTCTCT